CGCCTGGGTGGCGCAGTCGGTTAAGCGGCCGACTTCAGCCAGGTCACGATCTCGCGGTCCGGTCCGTGAGTTCGAGCCCCGCGTCAGGCTCTGGGCTGATGGCTCAGAGCCTGGAGCCTGTTTCCGATTCTGTGTCTCCCTCTCTCTCTGCCCCTCCCCCGTTCATGCTCTGTCTCTCTGTCCCAAAAATAAATAAACGTTGAAAAAAAATTTTTTTTTTTTTAAATAATTCAGAAAACCAAAAGATCAATAAGAATTCAATCCTTCCAAAGAAATCTTGTGAAATAGTCTGTTACCAGTTAGATCCTGACAAAGGGATAATATTTTGATAGGGAAGGTAGAAAAGGGCATCCTAGGCATGGGCAAGAAGAGAGACAAGGACATGGCGACCAGTTAGAAGTGTTATAGTTGGAGGGTTGAAGCTAGGGTTTTCTTTTCTCTGAGAAATCTCTTTATGAAAATAAAAAAAACCCTTAGAAAATAAAATGACGAACATTTTTTTTTAAGTTTATTTAGAGAGAGAGGAAGAGAGGAAGAGAGGGAGAGAGGGAGACAGAGAGAGAGAGAAAGACAATCCTAAGCAGGCTCTGCACTGTCAGCATGGAACCTGACATGGGGCTCAAACCCACTAGAACCATGAGATCATTACCTGAGCCAAAGTCAAGAGTCTGACGCTTTAACCAACTGAGCCACCCAGGCGCCCCATGAAATAGGTATTGCTACAATACCTAAGGACTTCCAAGAACTATAAATCAGTATAACTATCGTAAGTATTCAGTTCAGCTTAAAGCAACCAAATACGTTCTATCTCTACGCCTAGGATAGTTAATAACAGAAAACTTGTTTCATGTAGGTCTTCCCCTTTAGACTATTAGTTTGGTGTGATGGTTAATCTTATGCATCAAATTGACTGGACTAAGGGATGCTGGGATAGCTGGTAAAACATTATTTTGGGGTGTCTGTGAGGGTGTCTCCAGAGATTAGCATCTGAATCAAGATTAGCATTTGAATAATAGAATAAGTAGAGATCACCTTTCCTAAAGTGGAAGGCTTGAAAAAAAAAGGGAATAGAACTAAGGCAGAGGAAGGGAAAATTCACTCTGTCAGAGCTGGGACTTCTACCCTTGGATGTCCATGCCTCTGGTTCTTGGGCCTTTAGGCTTGGGACCAAACTACACCGCTGGTTTTCCTGGGCCTCCCAGCTTGCACACCGCAAACTATGGTACTTCTCTGCTTCCACAGGTGTGAGCCAATGCCTCATAATAAATATTTCTGTATATCTATATATAATCCAGTGGTTCTCTTTTCTGGAGAATCCAGACTAATACAACATGGGCAGCCACTGTATTTGTCCTGTTCAGAACTCTACATTTCCAGTATCCAGCACAATGCCTTGCCCGCAGGGAATGCTCAGTAACATTTGCTGAACTAAAGAATGAAAAGCCATATTACAGGCTCTAACAGGCTAAGGAGTGCTTGATGTGACAGATGAGGAAAACAAAACAAGGAATACAAAAACACTCTGTACTGCAAGTATAAAATCATCAGGAAGACTCTACTCATCTTTGATTCAAATTAACCAAGTAATTACAAAAGTTTAAAAGTTACATTCAGGGCGCCTGGGTGGCTCAGTCAGTTA